CAACAGCATTGCTTTTACTACGGTTTTGGCCCCATGTTGGCCTCCTGCGGGGGCCGCGCTCATCTACCTTCATAGCAAAATCATTGATTTTACAAAAAGGTTTTGGCCTCAATTTGTCCTTTTTCAAGGGGCAGCTCTCATTTGCGCTTATGAGGAGGTCGCAAGAGGCCCCAAGATGGCCCAAAGAGCCCCGAGGAGGCCCCCAAGAGGCCCCCCCAGAGGCCTCCGAGCGGTCCCAAGAGGCCCCCAAGAGGCCCCCAAGGCCCCCAAGAGGCCTCAAGAGGGCCCAAGAGGCCCCCAAGAGGCTCCCCAGAGGCCCCCACGAGGCCCCCAAGAGGCCCCAAGAGGCTCCAAGAGGCCCCCAAGAGGCCCCACGAGGAGCCCGAACGACTCACACCAGGACAAGGGGCCCGAACGACTCACACCACGAAGAGCCCGAACGACTCACACCATAAGGAGGGGCCCGAACGGCTCACACCAGGACGAGGCGCCCGAACGACTCGCACCACGAGGAGCCCGAACGACTCACACCACGACGCGGGCCTCGAACGACTCACTCCACGAGGAGCCCGAACGAGTCACACCAGGAGGAGGGGCCCGAACGACTCACACCAGGATGAGGGGCCCGAACAACTCACACCACGAGAAGCCCGAACGACTCACACCAGGACGAAGAGCCCGAACGACTCACACCACGAAGAGCCCGAACGACTCACACCAGGAAGAAGGGCCCGAACGACCCACACCAGGAAGAGAAACCCCAAACGTCTCAAATCACGAGGAGCGCTTTCTCCCCCTCCTCCTATGCCTCGTCCTTCCCCCGCTCCCCCCACAAGGATGATGTGCAAGGAGGCGGGAGGAAGGAGGAACAGGGGAGATATGCGGGGCCAAGCGGACACACGCCTGAAAAACACGACTGTCGGCATGCTTCGCAAGAGTTGCTGCTGTGAGATGGGCTGGCGGGGATACGCGAAGCGTAAAGAATTTTCTCCAGGAGAATCCCCGTCGCGGGGGAAGATGCGATTGAGACGTTCGCTGATAATGCAGGCCGAATTGCCGGCTGGCGCAGCGGCGTGCATTGGCAGCTTCTCTCCGCGAGCTCAGTGATTGGATGGCGGCGGCCCCAGCCTTGGCGAAGCTCCAAATAGGCACCGAGGGCGACCCGCTGGCGCCGCTGGAGGCCGAACTGGATGGCACCGCGCTCGCGCACTCCAGTGAGGGATGTGATTGACGCAGGGCGGCCACGCAGCGCAAGTTGCGGTGTCCCATCCGCGACGATGCCCATGGGGTTCGCGGGTAATTTCGGCGGGCCAAAGAGCGCGCTCAGCTTGACATTCTTCCATCTATCACAAGTGAGATGGTACGAGCGGCTGCCCATCGCACGCGGCCGCGTCCTGGAATGGGGGCTGATCAGACGTCGCCTCGTGGTTTCAAGAGGCGACGCTGTCGCCTATTGCACGACGACGCTGTCGCCTGGACATGGACGCAGTGGCTCCGTTGTATACGGCGCGCGAGGGGAAGGTGGCGTGGCCCCATCAGGCGCTGGCGATCCTAGGCAGGCTGCTCCCGAGGAAAGGGGGCGGCGACCGCGTCATTGGCGTGCTGGCGGTGTTCGCCAGGATCTGGTCGCTCATCCGCGAACCCACCGTGGGCGACTGGAGCGAGGCGACAGCGGCCCGCCTGGGGCGCGGCGGCGCATGGCAACGCGGCCTTGAGAGAAGCGTTCGTAGGGGCGCGCCAGGAGAAGGCCGGGTAGGTGCTGAGCACTCAATCGGGCCATGGGCCATTGGACATCGAGGCCTTCTATGACAACATCCGTTGACAAGTGCTCTTGTCGAATGGATTGAAGTTGGGCTTTCCAGCCGCAGCGACGCGCGTGGAGACGCTCCAGTGCATGTCTGTGCGCACGTTGGGCCAGCGAGGCGCGTGGGCGTGACCTACCATTCCAACTCGATCGAGCGTGCAGGGCCTTCGTTCTGGCACGCGCTTCGCACGATTTGTCGCGCGCGTCGCCCTGCAGCGCATTTGCGCGGCCTGCCCGAAGGCGGGCCGCAGAATATGGGTCAATGAAGTGTCGGAACGGGCGGTTGGATCCAACGCGAATCGGCGCGGGCCGGGAACTGCGGTGGGGCCGACAGCCCAGGGCAGGTGTCTCACCGCGCTCATCGGCTTGAAGACGCCTGCGGATCCCGCGCTGCGCTTGCTTGAGGACTTCGCGAGGCTGTGGTTCCGCATGTGTCAGCAGCAGCCGTTGCTGAGAGCGGGGGTGCATGCGGCGCGGGATACGGTGGTCGCTCACCTGTGGAAGGCTGAGCCGAAACATCGCTCGCGCCACATTCGCGGACCGCTGTCGGCGAAGGCGGCGCTCCTGCTGGACAACGGCTGAGACCCGCAGTCCGCCATCTGCTGGGCCAAGCCGCCCGCGGAGACGGGCGAGGTCATCGAGTGGCAGTTTCCTGACGCAGCGTGGACGGGCCTCGTGGACGTCGACGCGCCGACAGGGCTAGTGAGCGATTTGAAGAATTCTATTTCGGCGAGGTGATGGAGGAAGGCCAGCGATCGCTACTGCGGCATGGGGGCTGAGCACGGCGTCGGCATGGCATCGTGGCGCAAGCCCTGCCAGCAGTTCTCCAACATACCGCAGGGCAGCCGTATGGCGGAGGTGCTCAGCATGGTCGTCATGGGCGGCTGCTGGCCGAGAGATCGGCGAGTTGACGCAGCGGGGGCCAACGCGTTGGGCTTGTCGCGCCTCTGCCCGAGGTGTGGGCAGGAGGCCGAGACCATGTCCCATCGGGGCTGGAGCTGCCCGAAGAACGTGGAAACGCCAGCGCACGAAAACTCGCAGGATTTGCTCCCGCAGGCCTACAGCAGGCACGACACTGAGCAGTGCTACTGGTTGCGGGGGCTGCTGCCGGCCATGTGGACCGAAGTGACACCACCGCAAGAGCGTGAGGAGTGGCACGTGTCGGGCGCAGCTGCAGACAGTCTCGGGAGTCTCCCGTTCGGGCACGGCACTGAGCAGAGGTCACTGCGGCTTTTGGCTGATGCCAGTGGCGGCGCCGACTCGGCCGACAGCAGGTTTACACGCGTGGGCCGGCGGTCATCAGCGTGAGCACCTACGATCCCCTGGCCCTGACGGTGTCGGGGTCCTCCCAGGGGCACGGCAGAGTGCCCCCACGGGGAGCTGTTCGCGCTGCTCGTCGCCGTCAGGATGTGCAGCGGGCGCGTGTACTTCGTCAGGGACAAAAGTGGAGTTGCAGACGGCTGGTGCTCGCGGGGGCACGCCTCTCCCAGCGGGGAGGGTGCCGATCTGTGGCACAAGATCGAAATGGCTCTGGCTGGACGCAGTCAGGCTGAGTTTGCTGTGCTGTTTGTGAATTCGCATTTGCCACCGAAGCAGATGATTCAAGGAGTCGCGCCGTTGCAACTGATGTTTGGCAGCGCGGCAGCTGACGAAGTGGCAGCAGGTGCGGCGCGTCGAATCAGGCTTGCAGAGACCGAGAAATCTCGTGCACACAGGCTCGTGAAAAAAGTGTATCCGATAAGGTTGAGGCTGATCAGAACTACACTTGGTGTTCTGGAGACCGAGAGCGAACTTATGCAGAAAGAAAGACAGCTGAGAAAAAGAGAGGAGGTGTGTGAGCCACCGCCTCCCCCTGCCTCATCAGTGTGCAGGAAGTTTGCGACCAGTCACGTTCTCGATGATTATGGCAAGCGTTGCAAGATTTGTTGTAGCTCTTCCTCCCAGGCTGCCAAAGCCCAGTGGATGTCCACTCAGTGTTTTAGACGCGCTCAAGTCGATGGAAATTAGACTATCTGCGTTGCCGTCGAGCGTGAGATTACATGTAGGGGGGGGGGGCTGGGTACACAGTAGCCGCATCATGTTTCTGCACCAATTCATGGGACTCTGGTTTTGCTCACAGTGCGGGCATCTTGTCAGTTGTGTCCTCAGGAGCCTGGGTCAGGCATGTCTCGAGCGAATGAATGCGAATCGAGCTGAATATTAAATCGGATCGAGTCCGATCGATGGCCGGAGGCTGTTAGCAAGGCCGATACGCTCGCTCGTAAGCGCTCGTAGTTCCTTTCGACTCGCATCGCGACTGTTCTTACTCACTCAATCGTCATCATCATCATCATCATCATCATCATCATCATCATCATCATCATCATCATCATGATCATGATCATCATCATCATCATCATCGTCGTCCATCGTCGTCCATCATCATCATCATCGTCATCGTCGTCGTCGTCATCATCATCATCATCGGCATCATCGTCATCATCATGGTCGTCATCAGCATCATCAGTATCGTCATCAGCATCGTCATCACCATCGTCATCGTCATCATCGTCATCATTGGCACCACCACCACCACCACCATCATCATCATCATCGTCATCGTCGTCGTCATCATCATCATTATCATCATCATCATCATCATCATCATCATCATCATCATCATCATCATCATCATCATCGGCATCATCGTCATCATCATGGTCGTCATCAGCATCATCAGTATCGTCATCAGCATCGTCATCATCGTCATCATTGGCACCACCACCACCACCATCATCATCATCATCATCAAACGTATCATCCTCATCAGAAGCAATATCGTCACGATACGATCATCCTGATGACATCTGCCTGCTGCTACTCTTCATGCTCATCCTCCTCCCCGTCTGTGGGTGCTGGTGCTGGTGCTTCCACTGCTGTTGCTGGTGCTCCTGCTGCTGCTCTTTCTCCTCTATCTTATCCTCGGCCCTCCTCATATCTTCTCCAATTCCAATCTTCTCCTCGTCACCCTCCTCCTCCCCCTACTTCCACCCCCTCTCCCTGTCCTTCTCTTTCGCCTTCCTGTCTCCCTTCTCCCCTCACATCTCCGTCTCTTGCTGCTTCACTCCCCCCAAAACAGACCCACTCCCCAGTGCTCGCTTGCCAATCCTGACTCGCCCGCATCCGCCCCCTCCACGCCCCACGCGAGCGGCGCTGCCGGAACGGCTCGACGGACGTGTAATAGTAGGGTCTCTTCTCCGTGCAGCTGCTGTCGGAAGGGGGGGGGGGAAGCGGCCGGGGCCGCAGCCCGCGCCGACCCTCGAACGGGACGAGGGGGGCAATGACGACCACGAGGCGCCGATGGAGAGAGACGTGTTTTGTGTGGTGGGGCAGCCCAGTTTCGAGGCAGCCCCCTCTGGCCCCGCCGCTGTCCTTTCTCGGCGGTCCGAGATCTGACAGCAGCAAGGCAACCCAGGGTGGGCAGCACAGGCAGACAGATGCTGCCGTCTCGAGGCACTGGCGAATGCACGGCCACGGGGCTTGAAACAGGCACTTGTTGTGCTGCGGGTGCGTCGCAGCCTCTGAAGCAAAAGAGGAGGCCTCGATCGCGAAGCAGCGTGTCTGTAAGGGTCCATGCTTGTGAGGTCCGGGGCGAAATTCGGTGGATCCAGAGTCGGTGGCGCGTGGTCTCCCGGGTGGTCTCCAACATGGTCTCCTGTCTGGTCCCCCACGGTCACCCGTACGGTTTCCTGCACGGTCTTCCATGGTCACCCGTGTGGTCTCATGGTCTCCAGATGGTCCCCAAGATGGTCTCCCGTATGGTCTCCCGGATGCTCTCGACGCTGTCGTCCTTGAATTCGAATCGTCGTCGGTTGCGGCATTCGTCGTCGTCGTCGTCATTTGCCGTTGTCGTGGTCATCTATCGTCGCAATCGCCGTCGTTGTCGTCGTCAATCGTCTTTGTTGGCCATCGTCGTCGTCGTCGGCAGTCGGCCTGGTCGTCGTCGCATTCGTCGCGGGCGCCAGCGTCGTCGACGTTTACTGGCGCCAAACAAGGAGGGCGAAAGTCCGGACGGCCTGTAGTTTCCGTACTTTTCCCCGTACTCACAGAAGGAGCTGGTCCACCAATTTCTACACCCCCCTTGTCAATGGGGAATTTCTTTTGGTGACAAGAGAAGCAAAGTAAGTTGCACAGAAGGCTTATCGTGTGCTCACCCTTGCTTCGACTAACTCCCCAGAACTTCGAGTTCCATTGAAGTGTATCACCGAGGTGGGAGCCTGGCCACGTGGTTCTTCTTGCCTGAAGCAGTGCTGGTGGTCGCCGAGGAGTGGGCTCCTCCTCGTATTCGAAACTCCTCGCCTCACGTCACGTACAGCGGCCGTGGGGAGACGAGACGACCCTTGAGTTCGACCTCTCCCGGTGGTGGGAGACTCTGCCGGCAGTGGCATTACTTCGTGTTCATCATGCAGGCCTTGTGCACCCATGGACTTTGGCCGGTCAAATCTGTACAACCATGGGAAGGGAGGGTTAAATAGGTGGTCCTTATCGTGATTCCTCGTGGCCCTAGCGGCCGTGTGGCGGGGCTTCTCTGGATCGGCGCCTTCAGTCAAGTTGGACACGTTCGAATGAGATTGCGGCCGGCAGGCCGGACCCCACCAGGTCATTTCATTTCCTACCACCAGCACGGCCCCTGCGGGGGCGGGCGCGGGGCGTCGGGGCCTCTGGGCCTACGGCCCGCTATCGTTACCTTGCGGCCGCCGAGTTGTGCTTCGGCCTCATCTGGTACAGCGTATTGCTTCTCATTGTCTTGAAGCACATGTTGTCTTCAACGCGGGGGACCCGGACCTCGTGGCCGTGATGGGTCGCAAGCAACTTCTGCCCCCCCCCTACCCTCGGGGTTTCGGGGGGGGCGGGGTCGGTTCGCAAGGATGGCCCTGGTAGTTTTTCCCCGAGGGGAAGGGAAGACCCCCCCAGTTTTGGAAGACCCCCTCGGCTTGCTGTTCAGCCAAGTGTCCGTGAAACGCGCTCCCTCGGGAGGAAACATCAGAATATGGCAGATTTGCCTGCTCCAACTATTCTGAGGTATCCGAATTGGCCGTGCCCTGTTCACTCAGCCAGCTATGATGGATTTTCTCGCCCAGTGTGCCGTCCCACCCACGGGGGGCCACCACGACGCAACCGCAGAGCGCAACCTCGGAACAACCACGCGAAAACTGCAGGACAACGGAGGGGCAGCCGCGGAACAACCCCTACACGACGAGTCTCCTGGGCGCGCGACCAGTGCGAAAAGCAACGAGCGACTGTGGGACAAACGCAGGACAGGCACAGGACAACCATGGGACAACGATTCGGGTAAAAGTGGGGGGCAAGTGCGCCGTATTTGAGAAAATCTCGCGCAGCTCTGCCTCGCCCTCACATTATACCCTGCGATCAAAGCGCCCCTAGAAATGAGGGCGCACAGAAATAGATGGTACGTTTCATTACCGACCACAGCATGTATAAGACGAGTATAGCACGGGAGGGGGGGGGCGGCCGACCTCCGTGCCCCCGAACAAAACGGCAGCGGCGGGGAGAAACAGTTCCAATTCAAGGAAGGAAGAGGAAGCAAGGTATGGCAAGGTCCCGTCCGAATCTGGTGTTCGAACGACCGTTGTGCTTCGCCGGTTCAGGTGGAAACCACACCAAACCAGCGAAGCAAAATCATGCTAACCTGAAGAGACCTTCAACCAACCATACGTCTCCGGAAACCGCTACAGTGCAACGTGCGATAGAAACAAACCTTATACTGGCCATGTTCTTTATGTAAAGTTGCACGGCCGAGACCTTCAACTGACTGGGCCCCAGCATGGACTTGCACTGAAGAGAAGATGCTGCGCCGAGGGCCCTCTACTGACTGGGCCCTGCATCAACAGTTGCGAGGCGGCAGGAAATTCTGCTGCAGCAAACAATGACTGAGTTGTGCGCTCAGCTGCCAGAGTATTTACCGCCCCGCCAACACAGTTGGTAGTGAGACCCCACTCAATTGTGGCTTCGTTACCCTTGTTATCTCATTGGCGGCGGCGCATCCGTGTACATCGTGCACGATATGCGGGCCACTGCATCTTTCTCTTTACGTGATGGACTGATTGTGTCGCATTCGCGAAATGCGCGTCGCAAACTGCATCCGCGAACGTACTCCAGGACATGCGACGCCGAGTGGGTTACCCAGTAGCCTCGCCGTTTACCCTGCTAAAGTCGCTGTGGCGGGAGCTTGGCACCGTCTTCTTGTGCCGCTCTTCGCTCAACCTCACTGCGGGGCGTGTGTAGGCGAGCTTCCCATCCATGATGTCGAGGATGAGCTCACGGCCGAGACTTCCCTTCGTCATGGGGTCGGCCCTCATGTCGCGAGTATCGCACCACACGATACTGGATACCTGTTTGGTGCGCAGCTAGTCCGCTAGCCACAAGCGGTCGCATGCCATGGCTAGGGCGGAGACGACGGACGCCGTCCACGGCCAGCCCGGCCAGTACAGCGTAGCCTCCATTCTCCCTTAGCCTCCTGATCCGCGAGCCATCTTGTGCAGCGTCAGAAGGTACGCCCGTACGCCGTCTGCTGCTCCACATGCTGTGAGTAGCTCATAGCCGAATGAGGATCGAGACGGAAGTTTGTGCGAGCGGCGGCTCACAGCGTCACGCAAGTGGCAGCTCCATTTACCAGAACTGCGGCAATTGCCCAGGCGCGTGCATACGGCGTTCGGGACCCCATTCCGACAACACACACACACACCCATAGCCCCCCTGGAACACCACCCCAAGAAACCTGGAGGTCGCATAGGTTATTAAAGGTGCTAGTTGTCAGCTCATGCCAAGTGGGGGAGAGGTGCATCGTATTTGGGAAAACCCGCTGCACCCAACATACAGGAAAACCCAAACATGCTGCTCAGGTGAAGAGCAAGCGCGCGAGATTTGATTTGTCAGGTTGCAGCTGCTGACACCCTGAACCCCCACCAATATCCGAAGAAACCACCAACGAAGATAGACAACCATGATGCCGTTCAATATGGTATGGCCAACTCACTACCGCGCGGAGACGGACTCGGGGCCAAGCGATCATGATATCCAGTCCAATCATGTTGGTTCTGGTGCCGGGGCTGCAGGGCGAGAGGGGAAGGCGGGAGGAGAAAGAGGAGGGGAGGGAGGAGGGTTGATACGGAGAAGGGGAGGGGAGAAGGCATTGGTGGGGAGGACGGACGGGGGGAACGTCAGACACCTAAGCAGGCGGTGCGAGAATAAAAACGGCAAGGGTTACGAATGCATCTCCGGCCGCTCAAGATGAAGGACGAGGGAAGGCAGCCCGCTGGCCTGGGCCAGAACACCGGGGTCGCAGTGGGCCGCTCGGGCACCTCCTTGGAATCGGGCCTCCCGAAGGTTGCCTGCGTCAAATGAAGACGTGGGGCATTCAGAGAGAGAGCGAGGGATAAGAAAAATAATAACAACAACTAAGACATGAACACACACGCATTGATGAAAGCAAGGGAGAGAGAGAGAGGGAAACAATCAAACACAAGAGAGCGAGATAACGAGAGGATCATGCACCAAGAACAATGGCAACTACCATACGCCAAGAACAGACATCAAGAAAAACCGTCAACGACATACACACAGAGCATACCACAGTGTCAGTCGTCAAGGGCACGCGTTAAGAACATACAACAGGATATACCGACACCCCTTGGCAGGGATCGCTGAGCAAAGCATCTGTGCCTGCTCAATCCTCCCTTCCCTCTTCCCCCTCCTGCCTCCTCCTCCTCCTCCTCCTCCTCCTGGCAGAAGTGCGTAGACACCAGAGTAGGTATTTTGACGCTGCACCCCCCTACGCGGATGTCCTTGTCCTCCTTCTCCTCCTCCTCCTCCTCCTCCTCCTCCTCCTCCTCATCCTCCACCCCCGCCTTCCCACCACCTTCGCCCCCCACGCGACGACGACGGACGACGGACGACGATGACCGACGGCGACGACAACGACGGAAGGGAACGACGACGACGCCAGGCGACGGCGACAACCGTGGCGCGCCTCCAGCGAAGAGCCCACGCGTGGCCCGGGCGGCTCGCCGGGCGCGGACGCCTCCGGCGGCAGCCGCATGGTCGCCATGGCCATGCCCTGCTGCGCGCTACGTCTCCTTCATCTCCCGGGGGCGTCCAAAGAGGGGAGCATACCAGAGAGGGGGTCGCGAACCATGGCCCGAGGCACGTCCGCGGCCCAAGGAGGGCCAAAGGACAGGTCGAGATGAGAGGAGGAGGCCATGAAATCCAAAGAACGGCCAGAGCCACATGATAACTACCACCCCCTGGACATCACTCTCCTCTTGGCCGACCCCGACTCCCAAGACGAAACCAAGACCGGAACGAATCGGGGATCTCTGAGATCCGCCCGTTCTAGAAGACGTGTCGGGCGCGCTGCGGCAGTTCCAGGGCGCTTCGGAAAGCGTGCCGGAACGCTCTGGGGCGATGTATCCTGGTCCCAGCCCCGCCTGGACTCTCCTTCCCCAGGCCTCCTGAGCGAAGGGTTTACCGGCATCTGCTGACCCTCGACTCCCGATGGATCGTCCTTTTTTCTTTCGGCCGGGTATCTCTAGATATGAGATCTCTGAACTGACTCCGACATTTCATAGGCTACCGACTGGCCTACATAATCGGAACCACATCGAGTTGCATCGATGCATCGTGCTCTGACCCCACAAATCGATTGGAGAACATTCGTCAGGTTCGTCGGTGCTCCTCCTCCTTCCGTCACCCCTAGCATTCTCCCCCTTCCTCTCCCTTCCTTCCTCATCATCCTTCCTCCTCCTTCGTCCTCCTCCTCCTCCTCTCATCCTCCATCCTCCAAATTACTGGTGTAACGTAGTCGAGATTCCCTCTCTCTCTCTCTCTTCCCCTTTCCTCTTCCCCTCCCAACCCCCCTCCCCCTTTCCTTTTTTTTTCCCCTATCTCTCTCTCAACCCCACAGCCAGTGGCCACTTTCCAAAATCTTGTGAGCTCCATTGGCGCTTACGTAAAAAATATGAGAATCCGAGTGCTTCGTATCTTAGGAAGGCTCTTCCTATCAAAGGCAAAGGCTTGAAGATGTCGGACGCGAACGAAGACAGGGTTCCCACGCCCCTGAATTCTTCGAACATTTAGCTCCATTGGCACCCCGGACAAGGGGATAAGTGAAGCAGGAGTGAATGATAAGAAATCGAGGCCTGGAGGTGGGTCAACCACTTCGACGACCGCAGGCAGCGTTCGTGACGCGGGTACGAAAGGACAGCGTGTGACTGTCAACGGACAATTGCCTGCTTTGGGTCGAAATGAGCTCCCCCTCCTCCTCCCCCTCCCGACTGCTCCTCCCTCCTCCTCCCACCCCCCATCCCCCCATTTCCTCCCCTCCTTCTCTTCCTGCTCATGCTCCTGCCCACCAGCGGCGTTGCCGCGTGCCTGGTGTCCAGTCGCGGTGCCCCGGCGTGTCATCCCGATTTGCCCTGACGTGGTATGCCAACGTGGTTTCCCGACGCGGCAGCCTGACTGCCCTCCGACTGAAGCATTCCGACTGTGGATGATTCCCCCGTGGTGCCCAGTGGCGTGCATACTGCCTGAACACGGTGTCCCAGTTTTGCCCCTCTTGATGGTCAATGTCGTTCATTTGGCCCATGTGTCTCTGAGTTTGTCGCGGTGGTGTCCCGAGTCCCAATGATCTCCTAACGGGCTTGCGATAGTGCCCCGATGGATTGTGTGGTTTCCTTCTGATTTGGATGATTGTTTCAATGGGGATGGTATCGGCATCAATGACCAGCCATTGGATCATCTTTCGATCTGGACCCTCTCCGATCCATCATGGTCGATTCGTCCTTGGACCATGGATGACCATTCAGCATCGGCAATTCGGAGGTTGGGGAGTGAGATCGCAGTCAAACGGATAGCCCCCCACCAGGAACTCGGTTTCGGTTTCGTGTCGTGCGTGCGGGAGAGGCGAAGCTGCGTGGGCGGGCGAGAGAAATGCTCCCGCCCTGGCTGGGGAGGGACCGGGCTCAATGTCTCTCCTTCCCCTGGTTGGCCAGCGGTGGCCCCGGGGTGTACCGCTAATGTCCGTCCCGCGGTTTGCCGTGGTGTCTCGTGGCGCGGTGTCCCGCGGTGTCCGTCGGTGGCCCGTGGAGGTCGAGAGTGAGATCGATAGTGAGATCGATCAGGTGAGATCGAAAATGAGAACGGCAGTGAGACAGATAGTGAGATCCATAGTGAGATCGAATTCGAGGTGCGAGATCGACGGTGAGGTCGATGGATGGTGAGATCAATAGATACAGTGAGATCGATCGTGGAATAAGTAGTAGCTTTTCCGTGGTGTCGCGTGGTGTCTCGTGCTACCCTGTGGCCTTGTGTATGCTGTTCCGTGGTGTCTCGCGGTGCCTCGTGTCGATAGATCGATAGCGGGACTGTAGATAGATAAGTCGATAGTGAGGTCAATCGGTAGATGTCTCATGGTGCTCGTGGTCGGTAGTAAGATCAAGAGTGAGATCGCTACGTAGATAGTGAGATCGATTGTGCGGTGGATAATGAAACCCATGGGTAGTGTGACTGGTAGATGGGTAGAGGGTCGCGATGGTGTCGTCTATTTGCCTCAGCAGTGTCTTGAGGTGCTCCGTCCGATGGTATCCCGATGGTGTCCCGATGCTGACCCGATACTGCTGCACAGGTGGTGCCCCAGTGGCCTCACCAGCGTCGGTATTACGCATCGTCGCCGACTCGTGAGCACATCACCCTCATCGTCACCATCACAATCGTCTCAGTTGTCAGCAGTCCCCCCCCCTACCCACGACCTCCTGATTACCCGAAGGGTGGTCGTATGGGTACGAAAAGTAGATCCCGAAAAGTATACCGAACTGAAGCGAATGTGCTAGCTAATCCCCTATGGCGTTTCGAGATGAACTTCAACGCATTTCTGCGCACGTTTCGGATGTGCCGCTCAATTGGTGCACTTCTTCGCTGGCTGAGAGGAACTCAACAAATTTAGTCTGCTCTCACGCTGCGTAGTCATAATTCCACACAGGGTCGCGCTTTGCCAAAACATAGGACGCTGCGAAATTGGGCCTCAATCCGTTGCAAGCCATGGGCTGTGCCCGAAAGGGCACCCAAAGAAAGACGTCATCCGTGGCGCGGCTGGGCCGCCCGATCGATGATGCATTTTCTAGAAGGAGCAAGAAATAACATGCATCTCAACTTTCGGAGTCCGTCGGGAGGGCCAACACCGATCCGAGACATCCGCGCAGAGCTCCGGAAGTGTATGCTTGTGCCGTTTCTTGTTCGTTGATCTTCGCAGCGCGATGCTCCGACCCTGACGGCGGCAACGGCGGCGTCAGTCAATCAATCAATTCGCGGAGCCCAACGGCGGCGGCCCACCTCACAGGGCGATCACCTCACATGCACGGCTGGCCAGGTCGACCGAGCGGCGGCAGCCTAGCCGCCCCTGAGGAAGCCCCCAAAGATCTCGCTGAACGAGGGCCCCTCCTGGACGCTGAAGAGCGCCACGGGGCCGACCTTAGAGGCATCCTGGATGGGGTCCGAGTAGATGGGGTCGGGGGATCGCGCCGCATCGCCGATGCATCGCCGATGTATCGCCGATGCATCGGCGATGCATCGGCGATGCATCGGCGACGTCGCGATGCATCGGCGACGCCAGCGTGGAGAGCATCGGACTCCAGATCGAGCCGCATCGCCGATGCATCGGCGATGCGGCGCGATCCTCCGACCCCATCTACTCCGACCCCATCTGGGAGGCCTAGAGACCTTCATGTCCCCCTTCTGGTTGCCGGTCACCACCATCAGCCCCTCCGCACCCTCGGGCACCTTCGTGCGCGGGAGGTCGAACTGCAGATCTTCGCCCGTCTTGCGCAGCAGCTTCACGGCCGACTGCGCCGACGACAGCCTCAGGGCAAGGGGCATTATAGGAGGACACCCGGATCGGGTCCGAGCAGGTGTGGTCGGAAGATCGCGCGGCATCGCCGATGCACCGCCGAAGCATCGCCGAAGCATCGGCGACGTCGGCGATGCACGGGAGACGTCGGCGTGGGGAAAGCCGGGCCCCACATCGAGCCGCATCGCCGATGCATCGGCGACGCGTCGGGGTCCTCCGACAACATCTGCAATCGAGCCTGAATGGAGAGGACACGCGAGAGCAAGCAAAGCCCTTTTGAGGGCCAACTGGCCGCAGGAATGTAAAAGGCATAGGCCGCTAAACGCAGAACAAGAGGGCGGCCCTTGATTCGGGCAGGGTCGACGTCCTACCCAAAATCGACTGCACTCGAACACGACTCGGGAGGCATGGAACAATTTGCCACCGCACACCCTGGGGCCCATTGCTTCAGAGGAGCAGGTGGCCACCTGGCCTGGACTCCACACGGCCCAGGCCCAGAGTCGGCCTGGTGAAAGCAAACCTGGTGGCAAGCGCCCTCTCGACGATCCTCAGGAGCATTCGGCGGCGCTGCAGGAGGTGGTAAACCCAGACATTGGCCTAACACACGTCCTGAGGATCATCGACCCTCTCTCCCATAAGTCCACCATAAGCCCCCCATTGGCCAACACCGAAGCGGAACAGATCGGGGATCTCTGGGACCCGGCCCTTCTGGAGGATGCATCGGGCACCGCGGCCCTTCCAGAGCGCTCGGGACTCAAGGAATGCTCCGAGGGCGTCCCGGGACGCCCTGGAACGACTTTGAACCTGGCCCTGGACCCGCCCAACCTCAGCCCCTGCCCCTCCCCGAGAGCCTCTTGCCGCGCGCCGCCCACCACAGGGTGTAGTGGTCCAGGCTCGACTCGTCCAGGGCCCTCTTGATGCGCACTGGCCCCTTCCGAAGGGCAACGTGAGGGGGGGGCCGGCTCAGGGAGGAAACATCGACCTGGAATCGGCGAAACGTGGACTGCGAATCCAGGCGTTCCTGCACGGGGCTGGCTATCGGGCCCCTAGCGGCGATCGATGGGCGATTGGGGGTCGATGCGTCCCCCCTTGAGCCCATCTCGCCCAGTGATCCTCATCGTCTGGCTTTTGAGTCAGACCTCGGGCCTCCGGCGGCAGTTCTGGACGATCCAGGCACCCCCGGAGCCGCTCCGGACGGGGTGCAGCCGATAGGGAGCAC